TTGCACAGCATGCGGCCATTAGAAAATTGGGAGAACTACAGTATCTTTGAAACCACTGGATGGAATGGAAAGTCCAACCATAATGGGGATATCATGCGATATAAGTAGAAACATGGGGCAATTGGTCTGCTTTTCCACCAAGCACATGAGCGCTGGGTATCAGTGATATATATCTCTATATATATATATATCCAGTGACTTACTTAGTCAACAAATAGCGGGCATGTCACTGGATACAACCAACAAAAAGGATTCAATAATTACATTAAGATGTAGCATGCGGTTTGTGGCAACCCCTTTTAAAAAATATTAAAATCATAATGTCGAGATCATCATCCCCTTTTGAAACGGACATGACGCAGGTCAGCAAAGCAAAAAATCATGGCTTCCGCCACGGACTTGAAACATACTGCAAAGGGGCCCGAACCCCTCCGAAAATAAACGAAGATGTGATCTGGAGAATGTTCATGGGTACCAGCACCCCAGCTCTTCCCACAATCTAGCCTAGCAAACTGATCCAAACAGTAAAGGTGTTCGATTTTTTGGCGAGCGGCATCTGGATCAGCGCAACATGTGCATAGAGAAAGTCCTTTTCCAACTGGATGGATTTTTTGAACCACTTCTCAGCTTTCATGGGCTGCCCGAGCCTCGCCAGCGTGTAACGAAAACGTTTCTGACCGAACCCAATCTAAGGCACCCAGTTGGAGCCTTAGATAATGTGTTGGTTTCAAAGCCAGCTATAGGCTATAGATATATCTCCCATAAACCCTAGCTAGCCAAGTGAAATAAACCAAGTGGCCTATGGGCCACCACCCACCTTGTGCAAACGCCGAGGGACACATCAAGATAGGCCCTCCCACAGAAGTACGCAGCCGCCGACCTGGTGCCGGGTGATCCTGATGATCATCATCCCATTCATAAACCATCATCAACCATCATCCCATTTGTAAGGATGGTCCTTATATCAATTGTGAATGGATATGAATGGTTGCTTTAAGGACCTTCATATCCTTGATATACAATTTTGTCGGTCACAACGGTAATACCCCACTTGTGGTTGTCATAACCACCAACCAGTGACCTACCACAAAAAGATATAAAAGATTGACAAATTGTTTAACGCTGTTTGGTTGTTTGTGATCCTCCTACCATTTGTGATGTGTATGGTGAAATCATTTCAAATCCGCCATTCAGGCCATGTTACAGTATCTTGTATGATTGTTGTTTGAGTCTGTATCTATGCGTACATATCCCCATATACATACACAAAACGACACCATTAATAACATACAAATATATACATCCATCCATGTTTCGCAACTGTATCTTCCATCTCTCCTGCTGTTTCTTCCGCCCCTCGTGTTTTCTTCATCATTTGTCCACAAAACGATCCCCCGCCTTTGCTGCTTCTCTTCCTGACTCTTCCCGGCATCTTTGGCGCGTCGCTGCAGGATCTTCACCGCCTCCCGGCCCAACGTCACCGTGGCCGCGCGCGTGGCGTCCGCAGCCATCGCCAGGTCGTAGCGCAGCACGCCGGCGTAGTACGTGAGACGCGGAAGGCCCGGGAAATCCTTCAGGTCCTCCTCCACCAGCCGCAGCTCCTCTCCTGGGGAAAAACTCAGTGTTCAAAGCCACCAGTTGGAGAATGCCAAGATATGCCAAGAAGGGGGAAAAAAGAACCTCAATAAGAAGATGAGCACAACAAGTCAGGGCAACCACACGGATGTGTAGATCTAAGACTGCCACAGTTTCAGTGAGAGTCTGTTAAAGTTGAGTTGAGCATCGTATCCGATGATGTCGGGCCTGTCCGTCTCTTGAACTGCCAGTAATCTCCACAACTGACCAGCCGGTATCGCTGATATGTTCAGGCACACCAGCAGTCCCATCAGATCGACGATAGAAGGGGCTTTCATGGACGCGGAACTTGAAGTACCAGTTGCCATCATTGCGGAACACCTGGGCTAGAAGCTCCCAACTTTCGTGAGAAGAGAATAAAACATGTGATGGCAGGAACACGCGATTGTGCTGATGGCGATCAGAGTGTTCATCCAGACTCAACGCGTGATTTCCGACTAAGCTGCCAGCACTGTCAGCCAAACGTTCACCTTGCGACAAGAGTGGGATTAAGACCTGACATTAAAATAGGATGCAGGATGCATATGTCAGAAAGTGCCATGGCACAAGGCTCGCTTACCCCAAAAAACTCCCAGCCTAAGGATTCTTTGCCAGACCGACGGATTGCATAGACAACCTCTCTCTGCTGTAGGGCAGCGCGGTTGAAGCTGCTTGCCACCGGATACATATCGGGTTCAACCAGCAGGACATAGTCCATTTCCGGGAACCTCCTGTGGCTCTCCTCCGCATGCTTGGGAAGGACTAAGGACTTGTTGGACAGGTCCAACCACTGCCCTTTGTCAATAAAGCCACCGAGTTCGGCCAACATTTCGGCTTACTTCAAGGCATACGGCATACGATTGTTTGCCTCTCCTCTTCAGATACGGGCCATGGTCAAACATGGTAGGTGGTTTGTGGTCACCCATCCCATAATGGGAATCCTTATACATGGATTATATAAATCTATATTACTGGATCGACAACCATCACCCCAAGGACTGACTGGGTCTGAACGGGAAAAGCAACGCTTTCGCGGCTTTCGGCACCTCCAGTAGTCTGGTCTTGCTGGGTCCAAAGCCGTTGAAGTCAAAGTGATAGACCTGGATGGGTTTGGGCGCCAGCATGCTGACTGCAGTCGTTGCCGATCTATCCTGGCGATGTGGTGTCAGGGGCATCAAGGTGGGTTAAACCATGGTTTCGAACCATCCATCATCCATATATAGTGCAAGGTTTCAGGCCAAGGCCCCCAAAAAACAAAGTTTGGGCAGTTGAAGGATCAAACACTTGGCAGTGCCGCTTTGCTGCGAGCTTTCTATCCGCCAAAAAGGAGATCTTTAGAAAATGTGTCTCCTCGGCTCCCCATTCTTGTTGATTATTGATGATTGGCTTCCCCCGCTTGGAGCATGTTAGAAGAGCTGCGATCATCAATGGAATCCTCAATGATCAGATATTGGTCATTGAGAATTGATTACTGATTATTAATTGATTATGGAATATCTTCATACATGGCTTACCCTCCGCTAATCCAAGGTCCTTGTTTCTCGAATCCAACCCGATGAGGAAAGAATCGCCGATTCCACGCCAGTGCACCAAGTGCTTCTTCAGCAACTGCTCCTCATCCCTGGCAAGCATTGCCACCTGCGCCCGTCCAAAATTCCATGAAATCCCCAACCATCAATCGGATTTAATGGGATTTAAGGGAATCTTCATGGTGATTTCATGAGGATAATATGTACTGTAGTAATGGGATGATAATGAGATAATAATGGGATAGTAGTGGGATAACAGGATAACAATGGGATAATAGCATGATAGGTGTAGTAACCCCAAGTTGGGATGGATTGTAGTAACCTCCTAAAAACAGTGGTGAATTGAACCCCTCCTATCTTTCTTGAGGGGTGATGCTATAAATCACTACAAACATCCAGTCAGTTGGTTGGATCTGATTGGCGGCTTCAACCCACTCAAAAAAAAACATGTCATCATCTGGAAGCCACACGGAAAACAATACACCCTATTTATATGTTCAATATTGTATATATATATATACATTTATATATATATGTTATTTATTCATTTATTCGTTTATTTGTTTAGTTATTTATTTACACTATGCATATGTATATATATATATACATACTGATATTGACAGTTGTCAATGAAAAATAAAAATCCAATATTCCCCATATTTAACACTTATATAATTCCAATATGGTTGCTATTTACATCCCCATTTCCATGGCTTCACAAGCGCAAGTCGGCGATCAGCACCAGCAACGAAGGCATCTCCAAGGCGGCAACGAAGGACGTCATCGCGGCCAGCCCGGCGACGGCGCGCCATGTCATGCCCCAGAAGGCTCTGCGCTTGCGAAATCACATGATATTTGTTGGATTTTGGGGGGCTGGATGTAGGTATATCTATCTAGATGCATATAATATATATATATCTGTGTGTGTGTGTGGCCATATGCTGTATGTATATATATATATGTGTGTGTGTGATACCTGTGTGTGTGTGCAAATCGGATATCAATTGGAACATGAGATGTGAATAGCCATTGCCGTTTCATTAGTTTTGATGAGTTTTGTTCATCGCCATTGATGTCCATGGTTGTAATCGTTGATACGTCCTGCTTACTGCTTAGTCCTCTGCGGTGCCCAGGAGCTTCTTGATGTTTCTTGTCACCACAGCTTTCCAAATACACCTGTTTTGGGGTGGTCACTCGAACCTAGAACCAACCGCAAAAGAGTCAGCAGCCGATCCATGACCCACTTCCAGCTGGGCTGCCCGGCAAATAGGAAGCGGGGCTGCCAGCCCCTGCCAAGACTCACACCTCAATGCGTCGAAAAAATACACAACTGCGACGGTAAGGGCAGCAGGATGCTAAACTTCAAATCTTCAACTGCCAACTTGAAGAGATGCAAGATGCTCTTGGTTGCTCTTTTTGAATGCTGTGCTTCAAAGGTCATTCCAGCCGGGCCCTTGCCAGGCTGGTTCAGCGCAAAACAATGGGCAAAACAAGTTTCAAATCGGAGTGCGGCTGATTACAGCCGATGATTTGCCGTTTTCAATGCTATCAAAGGATTGGGGATTTACACCACGGTTGCATGTGGCAGTGCTGCCAATGCCGCGGTGTACTTGCCCGGCACACACGCGTCGGCGCACTCCAACGTCTCGCGACACTTGGAATGCACCGCACACTCCGCAGCCTCAACGCCGCAGTGCAAAGCAGCACAGCTCTTGGAGGGTGGAAAGCCTGGGCAATGCACCCGCATGCACTCCTTGGTGGTTTGTGGATTGTTTGTGGGTGCTTGTGGTGAACTAAAGCACATCCACGGCCGAAATGTAGGGATCAAAATTTGAGTGGGGGGTGCTGAGAAAGTCCGTCTCTTGGCCCAGTGAAAGCTCAAATAAATAAATTGTAGAAAAAAATGTAAACACGTGGCTGAAAACCGCCCAGACTCCATCAAACCAGCGAAGTGCACAGCATCCTCTGTCTTCGCCAGAGGCTCCGTACACTTCAACTCGCACATCACACCATGGCGGCAGCTGGACGAAAAGAGACACTTCGCCAGGTGGCTGGTGCAGTTTCCCAACACGCAACTGGGGCTGGGAGACAAGGTGGACTCATCCAGGGGGCAATTGTCACTGATGCACGCCAGGGTGTCGTCCACGGTGTCACCCAAGAAATTGGGTGCTGTAGCCCGCAGCATGGGACGAACTTCCTGTACATCGCCGGTGACGATGCAGGCCTTCTTGTCCGTACCGGCGAAGGAGGATGGCTTCACCTGGGACGTCAAGGCATTGGGGTACCATTCTGGGCCCAAAAAATGCTTCTCATCTTTAAGGCCTCTATTTAATAATGCTCAATGATTTTGACCCAGGCCTCAATCTCAGTGGTCTTGAAGTCGTGCTTCACCGGCTCACAGCCATCTTCCGTACCACCTGGCCGCCAGAGCGGGAAAAGCCTCATGCATCCCTATGTATCATCTGGGGGCCAAGCCATCAAACCTTTTTCCATCCCTTTCCGCTTTCCCCAAGATTGTGCCCAAAAACCACTCAAGAAGACGGAATAAAGCAGCAGAGATACAGTAGAGGTTACGGAGATTGCAGTAGTTCGTGGAGAAATCCTTCACTGAGAAAATCTGGGACTCAGAGCAGGCATGAATGCCACACTCAGGTCGACTGCCCTGGAAATCTGAGAAGGTGAAGGTCATTTTGTCAGTGAAGCGCTTGTTGCCGGTCACACGCTTCAGGTCCAGCTCAAGGGTGCTCTCATTCAGCAGCGAGTATTGGCCACCGTTGTGGGGATCATGCCTTGGGTTTCACATGTTCCCATGCTTAATCTTGCCCCGAAAGATGCAGATATAGTATTTCCATGCCATCTGGTAAGCCCCGGGCAAATGATCTTACCATCTTTCACCAGGCATTTCCGGAGTGGCAGTAAGTTCAACCATTCTTACTCGAGGAATCCGACACCTGGAAACTTTCACATGCAGGCATAGGCCTTGTAGCGTACAAAAGAATAGAAGGTTGATGGCAAAAATGATCAAAACCTGTGTTCTAAGGGCCTCAGGGCGCCCCGCACATTTTGAGAACCAACCACCCATAAGTTTCAGAAAACGTGCGATTCAGCCATCCAAAAAGGAAGCCTCACAAACCCGAAGAATGGAAATTCACCCCCAACCAAAGGCGCATCTACCCACCTCTTCCAAAGCCTCCAAAAAATATCTGAAAAAAACCGGACAAAAAAACGGGAAAAAAAAACATGTTGCAAAGCACGCCTGAGCTGCCAGTCCCCCGTGACCCTGGCCTTGATCTCCTCTATGACGTCCTGACAGCTGGCGGCAGCGATGCCCTCCACCTCGGCCGAGGCGTGCACCCAGCTGGGGGAACTCGGGCACTTCATTCCCAGGCTGGGAACGAAGGCGGCCAACAGGGCGACGCTGCGCACCATGTTTATGTTTGAAGCGGGGACTGGGGACTGGGAGGTATGCGAGAGGTGCTTGGAGCAAGAAAGCTGCACAGAAAAAAGCTTGGAGTAATGAGTAATGTATGTGCAAGGCGTCAATGCGAAGCCTGAGTTTCCAAAGGTCTCCAAGTGAACCCATTCAACTCAGCAAGCGTCCAACCACCAACGGCTGAGCTCAGCTGGCGGCATCCTGTCTCCTCCAAGCCGAAGAGGAAGCCGTGCTCCAGGAAGGGCGAATCCTCCGCACTGAGGAGCTCCTTGGGCCAATCCATCAGCTGCCATGGAAGGAACCCTGGAATAAAAGCTACCCTGACCATTCATTGGAGTGATTAAAATCGTGATAAATTAATACCAAATTGCCCCACCAAAAAAAAAACTAAACTGGTAGTTTAATTTGAATGGGATAGATCTCCTTGGGGGACTTACTTACCCACCATGTGCTTCTTGGAGCATGGCACAGCGTGCCCATGCAGTTGACATCGCGGAATTGATTCTGCACGCGCAAGTTGTCATAGACCGGACAGACTGCACTACCAGTCCAAGGAGTCCAAGGATGCTGAGGGAAAGCGTTTGAAGACCTGAAACGTGCCCGCCAAGCTATACACTGTACATTGGGCCATTGGGCAAATGCATCAGCCGTTCTGTTTTGCACAGTAGGCCGAGGAACCGATCCAATTCCACCGAGTGTAACATATATAGCTAATGGACATACAATATTTCAAGACACAATTCTGCACAGACTCAGAAGTGGAAGTGGGTCAATTGCCACAATAAGGGTTTTTTTAAAACCGATGGTTTTTCATGTTTTAGCTCACCATATTCCACCGGTTCATCATTTTCCCCCTCACAATCTGCAGGTCACATTTCCGGCTCATCCAATGTATTTGGCCGCGCCCGCTCCATGCACCACCCGAACTTTGGAGCGACAGCGCCAGTCGAAGCCTGTGGCTTTCTCGGACATGACCTACAGCCACACCAGCTGCGGACTCTCAAGTGGTATGGGAGCAGAAATAGGATAACCTACCATGTGATTTCAAGGATTATGATTATATGATAGTAACATATAGTAACGATAGGTGTCCATGGATTGAATTTCAATCATAATGGGATCTACTCAATTTAACGGGATTTGGTGGTGAATTCAATGGATTAGATTTGGTGATACTCGCGATCCATCTGTCAATGGCTTGGCATCCCATTCATCAACGAGAAGCCTTTCTTGGGAAGATTTACCGGAAATCTGTGTTTTTCCACAAACCTGATGGAATTTCGGAGATGGTGACTGAAGCGGTGGTGAAAACACCCAAAACACGGTAAGTTCTAGCAGTTCTCGATAGGGTTTTCCCACCCTGCTGGAAACTAGTGACTCAACTTGAACCCTTGTGGAACTAGGATGAACCTGAATAGGCAATCCTTGAACCTGTGCCAGCTCCCGGCGCATTCAGCTTGACTACTTGGATATATCAGAAAATACGAACGAAAAATGGGTTTCTACGGCGTCGTAGCTGACTAGGACCCGGACATGATCCCAAACATGTCCTAATTGGAGTCCATAAAATCCATAAATGTATGCAGTTATATGCAGTTTCAATCCCTTCCCAGTAAATCCAGGTGCCCCAAAAATGCATAGATCTAGGACCAGCCGCGTGTCCACTCCCTGCAGCTGCGTCGCATACACATCGCCGTGCTGGACCTGCATGAGGACTTCACCAAGATCCAATGTGGAGAAAGGTAGGATCCCACGAAGCCAAAACCGACTGTGAGGAATGACCAAAACAAAACTGAACCACCATCTTTTTTGCAATCAAACAAAAGCCTGGCACATCACAACATGCACGCCTCGCTCCTCCAGAAAATCCGATTCCAATCAGGTTTTCCAAGCCCTAGTGGACATGCCACACAAACTGGCTTGGATTAATATAGTCCACAAGGCTGTCTTGCAGCCAGGAATTCTGGAGGATCACTGTTGTCCAACCTTTTTTCATGGGTCATTAAATGTCCCCATTTTTCACATCACCCAACCATTAGGTATATGGTCTATAATGGCTACTTTTTTAGGTGATGTCCAATATTCCCAACATGGGACATTTACCAACCCCTGTTTTTTGGTCCCCCTCAACCGTCTCCCATCCTCGATATCCACGCTAGGGCCATTCTCGGAGGATCCAGGCATTCGCCAGCAGTAGCGCAATGCGGAGCTTCGACCCAAACTCCTGGCCGGCTACAACTGCCTGTCTAACCCCAGAAAATCCCACTTCCTATGGACAAAGATGTTCATTTGCCAGGCATGTTTGGTTGCCAAAGGGGGCATAGTTTATCTTTCATTCGTATGGTGGAAAAGAACGCTGTGAATTGGAGGTAGTGGATCTATATAATGTTTTTCTCCGGTAAAACAGCTGAAAGGAGGCCCTCTGAGTTTCGCCAAGGCACAGGCAAATTACAGTCCTTAGCCGGGAAACCTATGTCTCAAACAGAAATGCTGCCGACAGGTGTTTTCCAGTTCTGGGGTGACCATCCGAAAGTTAGCAACCTTGCTAGCAACTGGGTCTGTCTCAAAACGGGGTGCACCAAAAACCAAAATGTATTTGACCGTATCGTATTTCCAGACTTTTTTTTTTGATACTCCACATGTTTTGTCAATCCCCACTGGATGATTTCCCAATGGTTATTCCAACCTCCAACCCCAACTGTGAAGCTCAACAAGTTGGTGTCTAGATCGCACCCCTAACTGTGTGGGTGATCCCTGTTTTTTTGGTTTGAATATCAAAGGCGTATGCATATGCTATGTACATGTGGGTGGCTATCGTCATGGATGGATGCAGATGGATTGATGGATGGATCTATATATGTATCTATGTATCTCTGCACCTGTGTACCCATCTACATATCTATGCATCTAATGTATTCAATGTATCTAGTGTATCTAATGCATCTGTACACCCATGCACCTATGCACCTATGCACCTATGTCTCTATGTGTCTATGTGTCTATGTGCACCTATGCACCTATGCACCTATGCACCTGTGTACCCATCTAAAAAAAAACTAATGTATCTAATGTATCCAATCTATCTAATGTATCTAATGTATCTAATGTATCTAATGTATCTAATGTATCATCTAATGTATCATCTAATGTATCATCTGATGTATCTTATGTATCTAATGCATCTAATGCATCTGTACACTTATGCACCTATGCGCCTATGCACCTATCTATGCATCTTTCATCTGTCTATGTGCCTATGTGCACCCATGCACCTATGCACCTATGTATCCATGCTCCTATGTATCTATGCTCCTATGTATCTATGTCTGTCTGCCTGTCTGTCTGCCTGCCTGCCTGCTTTCGGTCTGTCTGTATGTGTGCATGTGTGTAAAGCAAGTAACGTAAGGAAAGGTAACGTAACGTAACGTAATGCAACACAATCTAATGCAATGCAAGTGTCATGGTAATGGTAATTGTGTGTAATTGCATGCAATTGTATATAATTGTAATTGCAGTTGTAATTGCTACTCTGAGGCCCTGGCTTTCGCTCACTGTCCCCATGGAAACCGATGCCCGAAGTAGCATCAAAGTCTCGGACACCGGGTGGTGCTTCAAATGGAGGGTTTAGGGATGGTTTATGGATGGCTTGTTGATGGATGGGTTTCCTGAAATGTGGGTACCCCAAAACATCCCAAAGTGGTTATTATCAATGAGAAAGACCATGGTTTGGGGTACCCATATTTCAGGAACCCCCCCAAACAGGTATGAATGAATTGGTTTAAGGGAAAAACTAGATCAATTGTAGTAGCAGGGAGTCCCTGGGTTGTGACAGTCAACCAAGAGGGTTGCTAGATAAAGTGGCATGCCCATGTCTTCCCATACTACAGTCCATTCACAACCACCAGCTTCTCAAGGACTAGATATGGACAAATTGCTTGGCCCAAATGGAACCACTAAAAGGCTGATCATTGGGTACTGAATTGCTGGTCCATACCCACATGTCGGTGAGATCAAGATTCACATTGTGCTATGTAATCTGGCCGCATTGTACTCATTCGCCAACCTGAAATCAATCGATTTGGGAGGTACTTCCCCCCAAGCGTCATTTGCTTTACCATGTCGTGGTGAGATGATTCCAGTTCATTCATGATATATATATATATATATGATGTGGTTGGAAAACTCCATTGGCCCCGAATGGGGAATATGGACACCCAAAGCCTCCAGCTCACCCAGCTCACCGTTCCCTCATACCGGGTGGCAATGATTCCCTTCTGCACAAAGGCCATCAGCTTTCTCACCCAACCTCCGCGGGGGGTTGGGAACTCCCCATAGTTTCGCTGAAATCCAAATCTTCATGGACTTTTCAGGCTTCAAATCCCTCATTTTGGTTGGTTGAAAACCATCTTCAATCCATATCTTTCGTTGAAATCATGTGAAAATCATATCTGCTGCGTGAATCCCAATTATATATATATATTATGGGTGAAAAACATATCTTTGATGCTTCCTTCGCCCCCCAAAACTCACGGCCGCCTCTCCGCCAGCGCCCTGCGAAACGCGGTCAGCTCGGGCAGCGCATCGAAGGCCTGCACGGTGTACCTTTTGCCGTGGCCGATGGGGGCGGACTGGCGGACAATCCCTTGGGATAGTCCAATGGGATAGGAATAGAAGCCCTATGGTATTTAACCCCTATAAATAGGATTCTTCACCTATTGGGATAGTGAAGAATCCATATGGTATTTGAAGACTGTCAAAAATTGGGATGCAAAACCGAGAAACATCGGCTATGATTCAATGATGGTAATATAATGGGATGCCTGGGATTTCACCATCAAAAATTGGGATTTGACTAAAATGATGATAAGTGGGTTTCATGAGGGGGTGCGGAACCCATGAGCTGCGAGTGGGCTAAAACCAACTAATCAACTAATCTATATAACTGGAGTATACCCTGTATATCATTGGGTCATTTCAAATATACAATCTCGGAAACTCGAAGTTCACGAAAAGGACATCAACAAAGGTGGGAAGGTCCCATTGCTACGGCCACATGTTTGTAGAAAAATGATATAGATACCAAACTTGGGGGGCATCGCTTGAAGGAAAACAGGTATGACATAACCTTCAAAGGGGGTCTCGCTATTTGGGAAGGTCCCATCGCTTACCTTATGATTGCAAAATTTCTGAAAACCAATGTCTGCCCCAAACATGTTTCCTATTGCAGGATTTTTTGCGGTGGCTCAAACGGTGGCTAGCCATTTACAACTCCTGGGCTGCACATCCAAGTATGGCAATGAAGTAAAGAATTCTCACATAAGAAATATATGATTGGGGGGGAACCGCCATTTATTTCTGGTTGTTTATGGGTCCAGGTTGGGGAGACTTCATGATTAAAAATGCAAGATGGGGAACTTCATGGAACTTCAGAATGGAACATTCAGAATGGGGGAAACATGCAGGAGAAATTATGAGTTATCGTTATGACCTGCTAAAACGGGGAATCCGGATACGGGGGGATTGATGGGCCATAAGTACCAGAGATACGGTTATTCGGGCATTGTAACCAGCATAAATATGCAGCTTTAAAGCATCATTCATGCGATCCTTCCTGATTCGATGATGTTGTGACCCAAAATTCACTCGCTGCTGTGCACTATGCGGCCCAGGTGCTGTTTGTAGTCCTTACATTGCTCAGGAGCGACACATGCGGTGGAGCAACATCCAACCGGGAGTCACAAACACCCTTTGACTAAGGGGAGCACCGTGCTGAACTGGAATTCTCACTATAGTATTTGGATGATCCTCACCATTGATCAACTCAGGGCTTATAACAAGTCGGTTTCAAAAAAAAACTTTCGCGGTAATCCCTTTCAATTTATCTGGATCCCAAAATTTTCCACCAGCACATTCCACCAGGCTGCGGCAAGGGATTTTTTAACCCAATGATTGGGATAGTAACCAGCTTTATCTCCCAACCACGAAAGGCCAAGCTCTCATTGGTGTCTTATGGTGTTTTCTTTTGGCGAAGATTCTTTAGATGCCTCGATGCCCTTCTCTCCAAAGACGATGTTGTGCCGAGCACGCCTCGTTCATAGGGTTGGTTGAAGGGAAATTTACAGGAAACTCTCGATATGTCGAGGCAAAATCACAGTCTCCCATAAAGAGAATCCCATAAAGATGTGCAGGCTTTGGGTGGCTGAATCATCATTCCTTTCGGTGTGAGATTGGAATGCAATTAGCGTGGGTCAATTGTCATCACGAGTATGCTGTATATACAGATTGTGATATATGATCTGCATATATACCTGTATATACCTGTATATATGCCTTCATTAATTCTGGATAGTTGTTTTTGAACTTAATGTAATATTATTGTTGAAAAGCCAAGGAAAAACATGACTCCATGAGACTAGACGCTTGTTGAGGGTTCGCGAGCGCCGCGTGTCCCAGAACTTGGAATCGTACTGGATCGCCTGATAGTGAGCACCGAAATTCAACCAAGTCTCTGAAAACTAGGATAACTATCGCTTATGGCGTGTATACATATATATATACGTATTTATTTACTTATTTATTCATTTATTATTACACTATATTATATATAGCTATACTATACTACTGTATATATGTATGTGTTTTTAAAAAAAAGAATGTATAGCTTTGCTATAGTTAACGTGGGTTAAAAACCAACTCACAACTAGGGGGCCCACCTTATGGGAATGATTTTGCTCCCAGATTTACTCTGCCATTGGTCCAGATTTTCGGGGATTTAAGCAGCCACCAACGAATCAAGAAATGGATACGTAACATGGGTTTGTCCAATAAACTCGTTACTCACAGCCATGTTACAGCCATTGAAAAAGTGTAAGAATGATGGATAAAAAAAAAAACTAATTGCTGTGTTCTGCTTTAAAAAAAAAAAGCTCGAACAAACCCATAGAGAGCAAGGTCAAGCTCACAGCGCCTTTTGCTCCTGCAGTAAATCATCAGCTGCCGACTCCTTGTTGAGAAATACCTCATCTTGAGGATAGCTTCAAGCATCAAAAAGTATGTGTCAAGTGCAAGCACAATCTGATTTCTGGGCATGGAAATCAAAACGCAACATAGGATTTAAGACTACACTTCTTTCCCAAAAAACAAACTCCTGGCACCTCTGATTCATTCTGGATCTGTTATTTATGGGGATGTGTATGGAAGTATTATGGGATGATCTGGAACCATCATATCTCCCCAATCTCTGCCAAATTACAGCTGAAATCAGTTCCCATGTTTGGTCTTGCATTCCCCCCATTTTAATCCATTTTAGGCTTACACTCTCAACTTTGCTGCTTATCAATGGTGGAAACCATCATGTTTGAAGTTAAAATCCACCCTTTTTGATGGTTAAATCCCCATTTTGCTCCACCATTTTGCTCCTGAAATCCACCCACCCCCCGGTCATCACCAGGGGGCAGCTGCCCCGTCGCGGATCACCAGAGTCGCGGCGTCATGGTCCGCGCGCAGCTCTTTGGGAAGCACGTCACTCAGGGAGACGAGCTCCTAGGCCCAGCTGTCACAGGATGCTTTTATGTAGAGAGATATTAACATATGTATATATATATGTATGCATGTATGTATGTCTATATCTATGTCTTTTTTTATCTGTCTATGTCTATATCTATGTGTGGATTATATGTCAGTGTACACACACATGTATGATAATGATTGATTGATTGATTGATTGATTGGTTGGTTGGTTGGTTGGTTGGTTGGTTGATTGGTTGGTTGGTTGGTTGATTGATTGATTGATATCCATGTATTTACACGCCCTCATTCATACTTGTTCATTATAGATCGTCTCTCTAAAGACACATATGACATTTGAAACAACATACAAGACCCATGTTTGGCCGCTAAGCCAGCTTGGCACATGCCGCAGTATGGGTGGGCGCAGATTTCCCATTGCCCTCTGGCAGTCGAAACCCCCCAGCGGCAGCGGATGACATGATCTTCCCATGAAAATGTTGCAGGAAACTCAGGAAACCCCAATTCTTGTAGAACTCCCCGGTTTCTTGTAGATTTGCCCCTTAACTAACCTATTGAACTTGCTAAAAACCATGGTTTCATCCCATTTTTCATGGTGAACTCCCTATGTTTTGCACTCAAGGATTATCAGATTATCACAATGGTTGAGCCACTAGTTACGAAAATTCCAGACTTGGTTGAACCATGGTTTCCCCTCTTAGGGCAAAAAGCCCAATGGCTTCCCATTCAAGTTTAGGCTTGGATGAAGAGACATTTTTTTTGGCAGAAATCCCCCCATGATGCAATGGGAAAACCCATCATGATATCAAACCCCCCACCCCAAAAAAAAATATCATACAGAGTTAAGTTATATGTACTATTCCACCCCCATTACCAGTTTGGCTGGTTAAATACCCATCCAAGGATTTCTTGTGGCCATCTGCCAAGACACTGCTTGAGGCCCAAAGGAGGCAGCCAACTTTTTCAGCTCGGCCACTGAGAAGCCACTCTTGCGCTGGCTGCCAATCTCAACCCCGCCTCAAGGGACCGGTTCAACCTGTTTCGTCCCTGGGAACAAGCGATTTACCCTCTGGTAATTTAACGTAGCTATTGAAAATGGCCATTTATAGTGGATCTACCCATTGAAAATGGTGATTTTCCATAGTTATGTTAGTTTACCAGAGGGTAACAAGTGAAAAATCGAGTTCAACCAACAGAAATGTGATTTAAACAGAGAAAACAGCCAACAAAAAAATGCCATTGTGGAATTAAATATCACATAATATCACCAAAAATTCTGCTCGACTATATATACAAATGGCTATGGGGAATTACTGGGAAATTCTGCCTGCGCGACGTCGTTTTGCTTGCGCTTTTGTTCTGCCTGCACAGAGTGGTGATCATTTGACGATCAGTGTGGTGGTGATTGCCAATGGTGATCAGAATCCCTCAGGAAATTGCACGGAAATTTCCCAGAAAGTTCCGATTCTCCCAAGCTTGAATGGGTTTCAAGTGCGGGCCTTCTTTGCAGCCATTTTCTGGTTCAAGCAACGGGTTTGAGCTTAAAACTTGCGTGGCAAATGGAGGACATACACTTGTTTGGCTCAAGCAGTTTCACCTTAACACAGCAATAGCTCGAGGTTGAGAAGCCGGCATTCCACACCTTCGGAGGTATGCATGCTCTTCGACCTGCATGTGAACGCACGGATCAATAGGGGCAAGGGGGTCCCTTCATCCTTTCGGCACAACACATTGAGCAGTGTGGCCCAATGCAAAACAAAGGCAACATTGCATGATATGATAATTTACAGCACTGCAGAGTGCGGTAGAACTGCATTGAGAAAGGAATGGCGGTAAGCATGCAGAAAGCTTAATTCTTCCACCACCAACACCACCACCACTACCACCACCACCAAAATCATGCTCCAGGAATGGCCTGTCAAAGTTTGAATTGTGACATTGTCCAAGCTTTCGCACTTTTCGGCTTCCTGCATTGGACTTTAAGCATTGCACAAGTAGTCGCGGAGGTCAAGTGCATTAAGCTGGTTCATCGATGAAGTGACCTATCACAAGCTGACTATTGCGCTGTGGCACATCTGACTTTTTGTCCGATCTGACTAAAGCAAGCTCTGGTGGACTTTGCCATGACCGGTCAGATCAGCCACGGATCTGCCACGTTCACATCGGTCACTCTTCAATGCCACTGGGGTCCAGCATTTCTTGTCTCTCAGCCGGGCCAATTTCGGGCAGCACCGCCGCCTCAGCCGGGTCTGTTGTTTCAGGCTGGCCGTTGGAAACGAATAACGGCAACGGCTGCCAAGGGACTGCACCGCCTTTCATGAACGGATACGCTGATTCTGGACTTCCGCGAATGCGTACAGCCTTTGCCCGGATCGTCCCTGTATCTTCCGACGCAGACGCCCGACCTGAGGACAGAGGGCGAGCAACTCTTCAGGAAAAATATGACAAGAAAGTACTTGGCAGTTTTTCATCTACTGTATATGGCGCGAGACAAAGAGAGAAAGAGAGAGAGAGAGAGGACAAAAAAGGGAGAGTCACACGGACGGCTTCTAACATCAGTTGTTCGCTTTTGTCTGCCATTGTCTTGGCTGTTTTAGCTTCATCGGAGCTAGGCCAAATACAAAAGCATCCTGCATGTCCAGCTTGGGGCATGTCCAGCTTGACACAGCCCAAATAGAATACGGTGCCCACACTTGGATGACAAAGTTTGAGTTTGTAACTGGGGCACCAGTTATCCCACAAGCGGCTTCCTAGCACATTTCCGATGTTTTCCAACCAATGCAAAAAGAACTGAAGGGATGTTTTTTTCTCACTACATGACCAGTGAAGTTATTTCCCAACCATTTCCCACCATAAGCGCCCCGAGATCGCAGCCCAGTGTCGCTCAGGCGGCACCGTGCCGCTGGGAAATTCTTGCGCAACACATGCAGCACTCGCGGCCAATTCTTCGTGCAGCAAGGACAGCTCAGGTGGTTCCGGAGACTGAGGCCACAGGTGAAACAGGTCCAGAAATGGATGGAAATTGCCTTTACACCAGACACGACAATCTTTATGATAGAAATGATGATGATCCGATTAATCACTGGATTTGGGGTACCTTCATGTTTGGAAACAGTGCAAACAAAGAGCTAAGGTGTCGCTAAAAAAGTATGGAAAGCCAGTGACCCCACTGTTTTGGCCCACTGGAAAAGGCAAGAAAGGACACCAGAGCCGTTTGCAGACGACTGCTGCTGAGCAACGGGAAGCAAGTGCAAGACCTCATCGGCCACCACACCATTCAAACTAGGGAAAACGACTCAGTTGAAGCGGGGGTTTAAAGACCAAGTCAGTTGGAACTCCCTCTGATGAGTGGACTGCGTCTCCGTATTCCTATATTTTCAGAAGTTTCAATTAGAATTGGTGCGACACTCATCCAAATAAGCCTGCACTACAATCCCGTCATCCACTGAGCCCTAGGAACAACTCGCGTCAGGCCCGTAAAACAGGTGCCTAGGCTTTAAGAAAGTCATAAATAGATTTAAATGTTGGTCTGTCCAAAAATAGAGTATCATAGCGTATCCCCAATGGATTGTCATTTTCCCTATGAAAATGGTTCTTTGAGAGTATCCCCCATGTTCAGACACTTAGGATACTTAGGGTGAAGAAGCCCAGTTAACCCAGCCTCCAAAGAAGATCGCAAGGATGAGACCTCTGACTCAGTCTCCTCCACCTGGACCCACCGGGGACAAACGCCACCCATCGGACAGCACAGCTGCGCTGTTTCGGACGGAATTGAGCAGCCGACAGCACTGAAGAAACCGAAGGACTCGCCAACGATGAAGTCAATCTGCTTCAAGAGGTTGCTGACTGCCTTGTCTCCGGATTCCCATCAGCGCCAAAGACCAACAAAAAAGCGCCTAACTTTGGGCAGCTAGTATTCCCAATGTTGGTTCACTATCCACTTCCAATGGATGTATCTTTTCTCACTGTATAAATACAAAGATACACACACACAAACAATCAATAGACTGCTTTCTCTCGGGATGATCATCCCTTGACCAGCTGAACAGACGAGCTTCATGTTCACTTTGTGACTTCGCGGCCGCTTCGTCGTCGATCAAAATCACCTTCGCCGCCTGTAGCGTTGAAAGGTTTATACAAGAAACATCCGCTATCTTCGGTCATTTCACCACAAAATGGAGGGTTTTAATTTCAACCATCAAAATCAGGGTTGAAGACAATGTGGCAAGGAAAAAAACTTCCACACTCTTATACATAAGGTGTACAGTAACCAATGAATCACCAATAACTGGAAAAATGTGGGATGGTGTATATATATATATATACATATATATATATACATACATAATGTGTATATATAAATATATACATACATAATATATATATATATACATACATGCATATATATATATACACATACATGCATATATATATATATATACATATATACAAAATATACATATACATATACATATACATATGTGTGCGTATACTGGTAATCACCACTGCAAATTCTGGCACCACCCACCTGCAGAACAGTTGTGTAATGGTCAGACAGGAAGAGACAAAAACAACATTAGTATGGAAATGTCCCAATTCAAAAAATACTTTTAAATGGTTGGGATAAGAGGTGATATCGACCAGAAAACATGTTTCTTTTTGGAAAGGCAACAACTCTGGAAGGTAAACTTGCTCTGGGCCTGCGGCTCAAATGAGCCCAAGTCCACTGCTTTGCTTCGCCTGGAAATCGCTACTGTGACGCTCATCCCAATGCAGAAACTTACGAAGTCTTGCAGGTCCAATGTGGTAAACTGACCCAATGTACCATAACCATCAGAAACCATCCGCAATAACGCACAAATGGGTGGCGATTTCAACCCCCATTTCGAGGTTGACATGGCTCTGAGTTGACCAGCTCAATATGCACGGTCTTAGAAACCTTGCCACCAAGCCCCCAAGACAAAAAGGATCGTGTAGCTGGGTATGAAATAGTTTTTTTTCTTTAGAGCCAAATAAATATAGATAAATAAGTCATCAAGTTCTATCTGCATACCCTTTTTCAGCCAGTTCACCCAACTATTCCCCTTTGCTGCTGTTTATATACCCTTTTAGCGTTGACCATTATTGGTATTTAATACCCCCATTGTGGCCTTTGGGGACATGTAGAGGGATCGGATGGCACACCATTTGCCCTCATATACCTATTGGATATCCGATGAAAGCACCCCTCTATGTATATATACCAAATCAATTGGATCCAAATTTCCATCTCTTGTTGATATATCCGGTCATTTATTCCTTCCCCCTCATATTGAATACCCGCAAATATTGGGACCAAAAAATGAATAGATACAACCTGTTACATCACCAGCATATCCCCATATTATATTGGTGGACTAAAACCACTATGTTTGTGAGTATATCCAATATCAATACCCTATGTTTGATTGATGGGTATAAGATAGATAGATAGATAGGTAGATAGGTAGATAGATAGATAGGTAGATAGATAGATAGATAGGTAGATAGGTAGATAGGTAGATAGGTAGATAGGTAGATAGGTAGATAGGTAGATAGGCAGATAGGTAGATAGATAGATTAGATTAGGTTAGATTAGATTAGATTACATTAAGATTAGATTACATTAAGATTAGATTAGATTTGAGTAAGATAAGATAAGATACGATTAGATTAGATTAGATTAGATAGACAGATAGATCAGATAGATGAGATAGATGAGATAGATGAGATAGATGAAATAGATTAGACCGATTAGATAGATTAGACAGATTAGATAGACAGATTAGATAGACAGATTAGACAGACAGATTAGATAGACAGATTAGATAGACAGATTAGATAGACAGATTAGATAGACAGATTAGATTAGATAGATTAGATAGATTAGATAGATTAGACAGATTAGATAGATTGGATACATTAGATAGATTAGATAGATTAGATAGATTAGATAGATTAGATAGGTTAGATAGGTTAGATAGGTTAGATAGATCAGATAGATCAGATAGATCAGATAGATCAGATAGATCAGATAGATCAGATAGATCAGATAGATCAGATAGATCAGATAGATCAGATAGATGAGATAGAAAAAATAGAAAAAATAGAAAATAGAAAAAAATAAAAATAAAAAACATAGAAAAGATAGAAAAGATGGAAAAGATAGAAAAGAATAGAATAGAATAGAATTAGAATTAGAATAGAATTAGAATAGAATAGAATAGATTCGAATAGCTAGCTAGCTAGCTAGATAGATAGCTAGATAGATAGATAGATAGCTTAGATAGATTAGATAGATTAGATAGATTAGATAGATTAGATAGATTAGATAGATAGATTAGATAGGTTGATAGATATAGATAGACAGATAGATAGATAGATAGATGGATGGATAGATAGATAGATGGATAGATAGACAGATAGATAGACAGACAGACAGATAGACAGATAGATAGATAGATAGACAGATAGACAAATAGACAACTAGACAAATAGATAGTTAGATGGATAGGATAGGATAGCATAGGATAGCATAGGATAGCATAGGATAGCATAGGATAGCATAGGATAGCATAGGATAGCATAGGATAGCATAGGATAGCATAGGATAGGATAGGATAGGATAGATAAGATAAGATAGACAGATAAGATAAGATAGACAGATAAGATAAGATAGACAGATAAGATAAGATAGACAGATAAGATAAGATAAGATAAGATAAGATAGGATAAGATAAGGTAAGATAAGATAAGATAAGATAGATCGAGAGAAAGATAGATAGGTAGGTAGATAGATAGATACATTAGATAGATAGGTAGATAGATAGATAGGTAGGCAGGTAGCTAGCTAGATAGATAGATAGACAGATAGACAGACAGACAGGTAGGTAGATAGATAGATAGATTCAATTCTATCCCATAAAATATTTACCTACCTATGTTTATATATGATACCTAAAATCGACCATAAATATCTACAATTCTATCCCATAGATACTATGTTTGTGTTGGACCAAAAATCCCTCTGTCCACAGCCCCCATGCCTGGCAGGTCCAGGCAAGCGCAGCTTGGAACGATCCTCTGCAGAGAGCCTAGTCCTGGCGGAACTGGCATGGTAGAGTTAGATGGTGGTATATGTCTATAGTATAAAAGCTATGCTGTGGTGGAATATAGTATTCACATATTCACATGTTTGTATGTTTACATATATATATATATGTGTGTGTATTCATATATATATATAATATTGGACATTTATTTAATATCTATATATTTGTATTTCTACATTTATGATTACATATACTTCTATGTATATACATATATATATGCAAAGAATGGGGAAATAGTTGTATATATCTAGATTCTAGTGTGTCAAATACAGTCTAGTTACATATTAACTACATATTATCTCTATATATATATATACATATATGTATATGTCAGTCTATTCTTGCAATAACAATAGGAATAATAGCAATAACAAGCACGGACTAGAAAGACTAATGCTCAGGTCAGTAGATCCATACTAACAATAACACTAGCAATCAAAACAATCTTGAGAATAATCAAGATAGTATTGTTGCATTAGCATTTCAATAGTAAGTGGTATTATTTTGCTAGCAAGAGTACCGATGATGCTAATCGCCTGGATGGATTCGTCGGTTTTTTATCATGTTTATTTGAATATTTGCCACTGGATGGAACATAAATGGTTGATACAATGTCCAATGTATAGATGGTCTGGACTGTAATTGATCCCTCCCGAATAGCAAATGCCCCTGGTTTGGTGTTGGATCTTTACTAAGAGGACAGGATTGTATAACAATGCCAAGGGGAAATCTCCATGTACAACCTGTGAAACGCAAGTCCCATCCAAGAGTTCTTTATTTGACTGAAGTGATCAGCAAAGGGGGTGGTTTCGTTTGCTTGCCGGCGAGTGCCAAGACCATTATATCCACCATGCATTGGTAAGGAAGGCTCACTGTTCCACCTCCTTAATGGTTAAAGAAAAAAAAACATGAACTCTCTCCGGTCTCTCCTGGGCTTCAAGTAAGGCACCTTTTTGCCTTGTTCCTGATGTCAGCTCGGACTGAAGGTGTTACACAATTCCAAGCAGTGGGTTATCGGACTCAAACTCAAACGCAAAATCGACTCTGGCACACCTGCAAGATTATCATTTGGGCTTGTCTGAATTCAAGAGTACTCATGTTAAACCCCATGTTTCATCATGTTCCCCATTAAAGGTGCCATATCTTGAGGCAAATTCCCCATGAACCACCTCAAGCTCAGACCTCAAGCTGCCAAGGGACTATCAAGCTCATGGACTGTCCAGGAACGAACGTATCCTCCTTTTCCTGGGCAAAAAAAACGACAGGACATGACCCTTCAGAAGAGCAGCAACAAAAAGATCTGCATGAAACAGGTTAAACTTATATCATTTACATCGTATACGTCATATACATCATATACATCCTGTACATTATATATGACATATATGCCATATACCTCATATGCCTCATATACGTCATATACATCTTATATGTCACATACATCATGAGCCAGAAAACTATCAATCTGGCCAAGCAGGAGGAGATATTAACGGACAGAATAAAAGAATAACAAACAGTCCTGTACAGCATATGCATCCTATAACTACACATTACGCAAATATTGTGTAGGTGTATAAGGACACATCTAGATATATGATATGAGTACATGTATATATATATATATGTGTGTGTATATGTACACATGCGAGACACACAAGTGCTTTCAAGGAAACTTTAGGTGTAAGAAATGCAGATGAGTAATCAAACATAATCATCGGACAGCAATGACACATGAGACTTTCTTAGACACCTTCAACATGAATATCACTATTGCTGATAGGTACAGCTCAAGGGCTTGAAAAAACCGTGAACCCTGGCCATTGGGCCAGGGAACTTTGCTGTCGCAGAACTGGTAGCCCTCCTTGGAGACCAGCAACTCTGGCCTAAGTGGAGCTTCTGGCGATGACCACCGGAGTCAGAACCGCACCCACTCAGATGGTTGTCCTAGTCACATTCAATATAGACATAAACTATCAATGACATATCTATAGTGTACACTTTTTATATTATAGTAGAGAGAGAGAGAGATGGATATCAACCAGTTCCAACTACAAGTGACACTTCAGCGCACAGCTTCTTTCCGACTATTTTCCCCAGGATAAGATGACAACCCGTCGCGCCTCAGACCTGTTTCACGGCAACGCTTGGCCACAGCTTCTAAGCCAGCTTCTCCAGACATGCAAACCGGCAGTTTCTTCACGCCACCGCATCTCTCGATATAGTTCAATCCAGAGCCTGTTAGGTTGAGATTCACGAAGAGAAAATGGAGGAAGAAAAGATTCTAAAAGTCGGGCAGATCATTCACTTTGACTGTTCGGTACTTTTCAAATATATAATATAATTATAGGGGATATTAGAGATATCCAAAAGATTCCAAAAGTGAGGTTGAGATGCAGGACCAGGAAACAGCAAAGGCTGGTCGATATTCGAATCATGACAGCGACCAACCTTCGATAAGCCTACAAAGAAAGCCAAATGCTGATACGGAAAAGTATCACTCCTGGTATGCTGGCAATGGCGTGCTTCTGAAGTATCTCTCGAATGGCACCTCGCAATCGGAAAACAACTTGAATCGGCAGCAGCCCACTCCCAAATTCAGCATTCAACCTTGAAAGTCTAATCTCTCTAAATCTAATATACATATATATATATTATATTTATTTATTTATTTATTACTTTTTTTTATTATTTATTTTTATTTATTTAGTTTTATTTTTTTTATTTTTATTTATTTTTTTTTATTTATCTATTTATTTATTTATTTAGACACAATGGCATTATGAATTGTTGGCGCTACACTTGCCCTTGGAGGCTTGGAGAATAGTCAGCTTGGGGGGCTTCAATTTCAGCCACCTGGCTCCACGGTCCATCTTTTTGAAGCCAGGGTTCTTTTCGGTGCATTTGGTGGCAACCTACAGCAGCACTGCACACAGGTTGGTGATAAAGCCACCGATTTCAAAAATATGCCAACCCCTCCCACTTAGCACTTGAAACTGCCAAGCAAACATTGCTAGAAAAAAAGCGAACTGAAGGGCAAACATCCAAAACCCATCCCAAAAATGTTGAAACTTCAGAATTCACACACACGGCACCCCGCACATCGGTGCACCTTCCCGTCTCTAGGTAAATCCTTCTGGGTATGCCTAAAATACAGCCCATCAGGAGGGTTTGTGGCACTGAGTTCGAGAAACTCATCGAGGTAACTGGCTGGAAGAATGAAATCTCGCGTGCCACCAGCAGAGACCCGCAGCAAAGTCTCTAGATTTTCTGCTCCAGGTTCCTGCACAAAAAAAATGACAGCAGGAACCTTGTCCGAATTCGTTTAAACAATAGGTGCCCCAAGAAAGAATACTGTATGTGTTAACAATGTCGTCATTCAACATGGCAAAGGCAAATCCCCAAGTGATGATTTACTGCCAGCTGCCTCTACTGTGGTGTCTGTGTGTAAGGCGCGGGTCTGGTCTAAGACACGTCTCTAGCTGCGGGTAATTCAAACAATTTCCTCAAAGGTGACCCCCCCCGCAATAGTAACGGCCTTTTTGAAGAGCTTATTAACCATCAATAACCACTAATACGGGCTTATTAAGAATCTATTCTGACATTGGGTGGCTCACCTTTCGGGGGTTGGTGAAATCCCCATTCTTGCGGCCAGTAAGGTGAGATCAGAAGGTAACTAACCCCAATCTTGACCGGTCGTTGCAAACCCGTTTCTGCTGGTAAAGACCCTATTTTTCGTTACTTCAAAGCTGGTTTAAATTATCCTGTCCTTGGTAAGACCAATTGTTGAATTTCCTTTTGGTGCTTAAAACCTGCTTTTGCCACTCAAGAGCCTTCCAATTTTTCTTGGCCCCGCAATCCCTTCTCTTGGTCGTCCCCCATCCTTCCAATTGTCAAAGCTTGGAGTGGGGCCTGGCCTCGGAATTAGCAGAATTAAGTCAGAGGAAACCCCCTGGGCAATTTATAACCCCGAAACATAACATGTCTAATGTGGTGAACCCAATAAGAAAACAATTCCCCAACTCACCGGTTGGTTCAATTTTTTAAAAAAAATAAATGTACAATGAAATAGCTGAGAGGTCTTAAGTGCAATGAACCAGTGCAAAATGACAGAAGTAGCTCGCAATCTGAAATCACCTTTACAAAGTACAAGAAAGTATAATCAAAAAACAATGGCCAGATGTAACGGTCAACAAGAGAATGTTCGCGTGCAAGGACGAGTAAGAGAACCGCGTGCATAGACAAGTTGATTCTGGCGTGTACAGACGAGGTGCCAACCACTCTTAAGTGTTCCACGGTGGTTTTCGGGGTGTAATAATTCATGTCTTGCCAAACTGATGGGGGATATGAAGAGTCAAAAACCCTGCAGCACTCATCCCCAAATATGTGGTGAATGGATGTGAATGGATGTGAATGGATGGTAATGTGGGTAAAACAATAATAAATAAACCACCCATTTGGGAATGGTTAGTTTATACCTATAAGAATGGTGACTGGGGGATGGTTTATAATTGGTTTACCCACATTACTGATTATTAAATAAGGATATCATATATGGGTATAAATGGTTATAATTAATGATATAATATCTGGTGGTACTACTGTAGGTCCAGTTTTGGTTCCTCCCCATACAGTTCCCTGCCGAAGGGTCATGACCCCGCTGAGCTCATTGCGGTGTGGTCTCGTGCGCCCCGTTGGACTGGGTCAGGGTCGGCACATGCAGTCCAGGCCACATGCACCTGAAGTGGACACGCTGAAGGGGCAGCCGGAGATGATAACACAATAAATATCTACTCAAATTGCATGTCATGTATGCAAATGCATGTACGTATAAGTGTGTCTGTGTGTGTGGGTCAGACGGTCACTGTGCGTTTATATTCTGTGTATAGATATACGTACGTACGTATGTGTGTATATATATCTCTCTCTCTCTATCTATCTATCTATCAATCTATCTATGGGTGTGTTTATTATATATGCACATACATGTGCAAATGCATACATATGTATATATATATAGTGTGTGTGTGTGTGTCTGTACGTACGTGTGTCTATGAATGTGTGCATGCACATGTTGATGCCAGTTTACATGTCTACCTATTCGTACATTAGTTTATTTAGGCACGTGTTGATTTATCAACTCTTTTGTTTGTAAATTGTCTGTTCATAGGCCGTTCTATTTCTCATATCACCTTTTGCATGAACCGATTTTTTTACCATGCATATGTACATAATTGCTTTTATCTGTCTGTCTATGCATCTGTTGACCTATATAATAAATCGGTTTCTCTGTGCATGTATTGATATGTAAAAGAACATATTTGTTACCTGTACATTTGATTATTGACCTATCTATTCATTGATATTGTTCATGCGCATAGACATACATGTAGACATATGTATCTATGTGTCGTTGAAGTCCACATGGAATCACACTGAAAGATGGTTACACCGTTCACTGAGCGACATCCCCATCGCCTCCCTCACGGTGCAGCAAACATCCACAGGCGACACTGGAACTCTTTGAGCTGCGATACCAGGCTGAAGAATTTTACCAATGGAAATCTCATGAAATCTCTTCAACCTCCGTGTAGATTATTGTCTCATTGTCTTATTGCCCTCTAGCAATCCAATGCATTGAAAATTTCCAAGTGTGGACTCAGTGTAGGTGATTTTCCTCTCAACAATGCGGCGTGTGCTGTAGTAAAAACTCCTTTTACGGTCTGATTCCAGCATTCTTGCCAAATACTCCTTAGTTCTACGCAAATCCAGATTTTGCAACGACTTAAATCCCAATGTTTGCACTGCCATCTCACAACATGGCAAGCATTTTGCAGCAAGTCCTGCTCTGGCAGCACGTCCAGCCTGGCGTCTGGTGGTTCAATTCCATTTTGAAGGTGGTAAATGGGTTTGTCTGAAAATAGGGGACACCCATAAATGGCAATTTTTATAGGAAAAAGGGTAGTAATACATTGGAATTGGGGGTGCCTTATTCTCTGACAAATCCAGGAGGTTGGTGCAAAACCTTTTCGTCCGCGAGCTCAGACCGCAATGTAGGAACGCCTCACCGGAGAGTGGGAGTTCCAAAGCATGCTGGCGAGATGGAAGGTTCATCCATCCCATCGGCTGAAGAACTCGGGCATACCCTGGACCGAGGTCATGAAAAAGCACAGGATGCTGCGGCCATCGATGATGTCCCTGTCAAACAACAATGTGGACGCCTCTGTGTACCACTTTGATTTCAGCAAGAAAGAGATGAAAAATGCATTGCCAAGATTCTCAGGAATGTATATATATAATGTTCACCTCTTTTGGTGCAGAGATCAAAGTGGTACAGATTGGTGTGGTCGGTAACTACAGCTGCTCACTTTGTGCTGAGACTTTCTGCAGCAAAGCGATCGGCTTAGCCTGCCTTTGGCTTTTTGGTGTCGGCAACTGCTTTGCCCTTGCCATCCCTGACCAACTGCTTTTCTAGCACGACTGCCGCTAAGCTTCTTTGGGACCTCTGCGTCTCGCTATACTTCCAAACTCGGCTGACCAGGTTGCCTCCTCCACCAAATCCTTAAGAAGTGGGTAGAATTGCAGGAGCGTGCCTCCACGCGTTTTCTTCTGACAAACAGAGAACACTTGTGAGACCAATCAGGTGGATCTGGAATCGGCTGCTCGGATACAACTATCCTCGCGTTGGTCTCCGCATCCGGTGATCATGATGCCCCACGGAACAGAATCTGCAGGCACCAAATCATTGACAGCCACATCATTGAGTTGCACCTCATTGCTCTGCATCGCTTCTGTATCCCTTGGACTTGGACTTGCAATCGGCAATGTCAGATCTTGACTAGTGGCCCTGGGTTGTTGAGCCATAGGAAGGGATCATTTCAGTGAAGCGTTGACTTCCTTTCCCTCAGCAACTTCCAGGCCTGCCAGCCGACGCGCAAAGGCCTCTCTGGAAACGGCAGGTTGGGATGCCAATTGCCCTCACTGATCCGATACTGTCAAGACATCCAGGGTAGGAGCACTGGCATCCGCTGCGGCCCTTGTGAGCGCGTTCGCTTCATTTCTGCCTGTGGAAACAACTCCTTGGCATGGCATGACCCTCCGCAGGATCCTCGGCAGCTTTCAGAACTTCAACTGTTCCCTCCGCCTCTTTGGAGCAATCCACTCGAGAAAAACGACCAACACTGCTTGAATGCTGCCGCTTCGTTTGTTGCACTCTTCAGCCAAAATGTCTAAACCAAAAAATGGATGGGTTTGGTCGTCACAAATTACAAGAAACACCCAAACGAGTTGAAAGTCGGCTAACATGTTGCCATAGCGGCCATAGCGGTGATGATCCACCAGAACCCCTGGTCAATTTTTATGGTTTGGCTATTTCTGAGCACGCAACCCATCAAGGCGCAGCAGAAATTCCAACCAAAGCACCGAGCGGTTGAGTTGCATTCTGTCCTCTGCCAGGAGCAGACATCATGACATCACCCACTAGTTACTGTACCATCTGTACATGGCTTGTTTTTGAACATTTGATGGTGGTGAACACTGTTTTGGGCTGGAACAGGGAATCTGAAGCCACCAACCACATTGTTGACATGCGATCCGTGCGATCCCACAGAATCCCAAACCCAGACGCAATGCAACTGCAATCATCCCATCAACTTTGCAATGAAACGACCTTCAATGGGACCCCCAGAAGGAACAAATCCACCACGAAAGGATCTGCAGAGGTTCCAAGGATGTTCCAAGGGAAATGTTCAGATCCAAACACAGCAACTCAGGCGCCACAAAATGCTGCGCCGCACTGGAAATCAAGTCCTCCATCTCTAGATCCTTGGTGAAGTGGCAGCCCAAGCCAGGGAAAAATACATAAATGCACAATAATAATGCACAATTCTGCATTCGATGGGTGTAAGTCATTTGTATTTCACAGCATTTGATGATGTCACCCATTTCCTGCCTGCTTTTCATCAAGCAAAGTTTGCAGAAAACGGTGAACCTACAGGATCACATCGCGAAAAGGCGAAGCTCCCAGTCTGTGTCTAAACCCTCTGAGGCAAACCTGGCCTCTTCTGCTTTTTCACGTCGTTCGTCATGTCGGCTCGCCACGTCGGGGCCTTGATCTTTGATGGCTTTCCAAGAAACAATCACAAGCACACCCAGCGAATAAACCCAATGACAAACCATCTACTATTACTATTATCATTGTTGCTATTATCATACACTATCATTATTGTTGGGATTCTGATTGAGTTTGCCACATATGGGTTGTAAAATTTATAAAACCCAATATATAATAAACCCAACGGGCCCAACGGGCTATAAAATCATCCACCAAACTGGTGCTTCATGGCATTTGCTGTGGCTCCAGCCCAAACCTTCTGCTAAAAGAAGCTGGACCCCCTGAGCAACCGAAATTTTTCACCATGACATTGATGTCACCATATGGGCCATATGGGAAAAGAAAACTTGCACGCGGTTCTTCATTTTACCAAGAGTTCTTGAAGATGGATGCGTTAACCGTTAACCCCTACCTTTTCATCAACAAACCAGTGACAGAAAGTACATTTTTTTCAGTCTACACGCCCTATATCTGACATGGAACCCACAGTAAAATGATACAAATTGGGTCTGGAAAACGATGTTCTTTTTTTTCAAACATCCATGAGGATTTCATGTGAACTTGTCAGGGGTCATGAACTGGTCATTCCATGGTCACATTGGCCTCGTGAGCTGACATGCCATCAAAGAATCGTTCGCCTTGGTGGTCTTGCAGGGACCCTTTGGGTGATATTAGAATCCAATGTGTATTTTACTGGGTTTGTATATGATTTTACTGGGTTTAATGAGGTTTACGTGGGGTTCATGGGGGTTGATAGATTGTCTGGGGCGGAAACCATGGTGTTTGGTATGTTCACACAATCAATTGCTATGCACAAGGAGTGACAGGTTATGTTATGTTTTCAGATTCTCATTGATACCCTCTAATTGATACCCTCTGGCAATTTATAGTGAGTTTTACCATTAAAAATGGTGATTTTCCATACCTATGTTAAATTACCAGAGGGTAACAAAAAAATTGCAGCCCCATGTTTGTTGACTGACCTCAATCCCCATGGCTGGCTGAATTCCCAGATCGGCCCATCGAATGATGGGGAAATGATCTTCCAAACCATGGGGTGCTTCCTCGGGTGTTTTTCCAATGTTCAAAACAAACCTGATCTTTTCCATAAGTTTTCCATAAGTTTTCCATAAGTTTTCCATAAGTTTCTGGAAATGTTAGACTTTGTCACCCTATCCCACTTTTCGATCCACGAAGCTCCCACAAAAAAAGACAATAGCTGCCACTGAGTGCGGCGGACCCCCCGATTTCCGGCGGCACCTTTCTCGGCGGATTCCACGCCTGGAATCTGGTGTTCTTGGGAAACATCAAAAGCGGAAACCACGGGTTTTTACCATAGATGATGGGAAAACCCTCTATTTACTCTATGGATGATGGTAAAAACCCTCTATTTGCAAACCATAGAGTCAAATAGAGGCTTTTCCCATCATCCAATTCTCCATCTGCTGATTGAGGGTTTTTTTAACCCTCTATTGACTCTATGGATGATGGAAACTGGATTCATTAGTTTAAGGGATTTTTTTCCCATCATCCAATTCTCTGAAATGAACAATGATGGAGAAATGGGAACAGATACAATGATCATGATTGCTGGTTATACCCCCATGGACAATGATACTGTG